AAAATTGTCAAAGATGTATATAATTCATTTTTTACATTTATCGTTAAAATGTTTAATATTTATTTTATATTAAACATTTTAACGTTTCGGTTATTTCGATATTATATTAATTTTTATCTTTATAACTTTATGAATATTGAAACAAAAATATCTTTGTGTTGCTGCAATGACGATGGCTACGGATGGATATGAAAAATGAATTCTAAAACAACAATATAGCATCAAATGTTTAAAATAAATACATAGCCTGGTATAGTAAAAAACTTGTGTTTTACTAGATTTTTTTATTCAAAGCTTCTAATTTTTTCAGTCATTTTTATCTTCAGACAGTGTCAATTATACTAATATGTTATCTATGTTAATAACAGTATGAATCATCACTTATTTAACTTTGAAAATCGGAGTAAAATATAAAATATCTGTCGTTCAAATAATTAGAGATAGTATATTAATAAGAGATAGTATATTTAAATTTAATCAAATATTTTAACACACAATGAATATTAAGAAAAATGAATTTTATATTAGGTGTAGTAAAAAGAAATCCATTATTTTTGCATGAAATTGAATGGAAAAATAATGGATTTCTTTTTACTACACCTAATATGTTCTTTTATATATTTAACATGAATTCAATATGTTCTTCATGAATTCTATATCATACTGATTAAAAAGTGGTTTTTATCATTAAAAAAAACTCATTGATATTTTTCTCCGAAATAAATAAGTGTCTGTTCTTAATTTTAAGTCACCTTTGTAATTGCATTTTTCGCGGTGTCTGCTGTGTCGATCTTTCGATACGCAGATCGCAAAAGATGCAATTCAACATCGGCCGCGATCAACTTCATCTTTTTTCGCCTTTTCTCTCCGATCTTCTCGCACTACAAAACGTGATGCCGCGCACACGTGTCGTATTAATGTTGCGATCGCGTGTATATATTTCGCGTTGCAGTGCGATATGGCGGCGGCGGTAGTGGTAACGGCGTCGATAGCGGTGACAAAGCGCTTCCCGAAGAAGCAGAAAAAGAAGACATAAATAAACTTCGAGCGAGTGCGCGTAACAATTCGCTTGGTATTGTTCCACTATAAACAGACAAACAGCCGAGTAGTGAATCACGCAATTGTGTAACGTCAGGACTCAAGTTTTCTATCACGTTCGACGTACCTAAGCGTTAATCATTTCCCTCACAAGTGCGTATACAATACGGATGAACTGGTTGTCGTAAATAAATAAGCAATTCCATATTTTTAGAAATTAGATATGTATTGTGATTGTTTCTGTTAGTATACAATACACATTACGAGAAAGAGACAATATAAAATATCTCGTTTTTTCTTTCTGAGGAAAAAAATTGTATTATTTTATTAATTTATATCGAGAACCTATATTTTCGTTCATTTTTTATTATTAGGCCATCCGATAAATGCCATTTTTTACAAACAGTTGAAGAATGAAACTTTATATATTTATTAATTTAATCTTTAATACACACAATGATTTTCCTTTACTACACATGAGCCATTTATGAATTAATTTTCATCACTTTAATTTAATCGCTTTAATTAAATATACAAAAATTATTAAATGATTCTAACAAATATTACTTTAACATTTTAGAAAGGTATATACCTGTAAGGTTGTGTATTTAAAAATATTATATATAAATATAATATTATATATATATATAAATGTTAAAACTAGTTACTTGAGGCTTCTAGTTTTTTAAAAGAAAGAAAATTGCGAAATGACCCAATCGTATGTACTAAAAGTTAATGCGTAATCACCATTTTGCTCCTTTCTTGTTTATCACCTTGAAGTCAATTTTTCAATTTCATTTGGATAGAAGCTATCCGGCTTTTGATCTTTAAAACAAAATAAATACAGTAGCAGTGCGCTTCTCACCCTGATAAAATGAACGGCAAGATTCACGAAACGTTGGTATTAGCAACAGATCACGTCATCCGTATGGTGATAATTTGTAAACCCTTTGGCACTTCAAGAAAACTTGTGAAAGTCTCAAAAGTATTAAAATAACGATCTAGCCGTTCATTCTATCTTTATCACTCATTTATCACATGCGAAAGGAAGATAGAATGAAGCTTTTAACGAGTGAGTGCCTAAAACGAATATTCTAATATGTTACATAATTTTTCTGTAACTTTCTCTTTTTTTATATGAACTTTTTCTATCTTCAATCTATATATGTGACACAATTTTTCTAATTAACTTTCTCTTACAAAATTATTTGTATTCAATATTGTGTTCAGTTCCAAGTATAACAATTTAAAAGTAATAACAATTTAAAAGATAATATTCTGACAGCGATTTATGCGATGAGTAATTCTGAGCTCAAAATTATTCTAATTAGCTCGCGCGAATGTGCGACGATGAGTGGCTCGATTGCTAATTTCTATCGATAATAATCGACAAGTGAAATGTAGGAGTTCCGCGGCTCGCCGCAGGCGACGGGCAAATAAAAAGCGAAAAGGCAATGTGTTAGTCACAATAGTGTTCCGTATCGATCTCTCGGGATCTGCGTGACGGATATGGTAACGCATTAATATTCATTCGAACGTCGACTTTGTACGCAGATAATATCCGATATCCCAATTCTTTCCTCCGTATATTTAGTCAGGTGAGTGCCAATCTAACGTATATCACGCACAACGTCTGGGCGTAGCTACTCCGTGGATCTTGCTGCATTATTCATGCCCACGCATATATCAAATCTGTCTTGCGTATTAGCATAATGCGAGACAAGACTCCGGGCGACGAATCCGATGAGAATAAGGACGAGAGCTCTATTTTAATTGCATGCCCTGGTTGCAACGTAATAAAGGAAGAAAAAAAGGAGCACGTCATCCTTCGACGACCACTTATCGTGACAGCTGGATTATGTCTTTTTAACGCAAGTAGATTTTCAACGTCGTCGAAAATATTTTTTCCTTTTACTTCGTAAGCCATTTAATATTGCATTTGACGATAAGCGTGATAAGCATAATAAGGTCGGATTAACGTTAGTAAAGTTTTAATTATCTATTCCTCGAAAGCTTGTTATTCTTACGGGCTATCTGTAATGTCATAATGATACGTAAACAAATTCCCGCTTCTCCACTTTCGTTCGCTAAACAATAATATAATTTTCTCTATCCTTGGGATCATATTTTTTCTTACATTAATATATCACTTTGGATGAAAATTCCATATAATTAAACATTTTTTTATACTTTTTATAAAAGGAAAGAATAATTTTGCTCAAGTACTTATCATCCAAATAACCATCAAAATAATTATATAGGAAATTCAAGCATGATGAGTAATGTTGCAAAAAATGTTAATATTCTAACAAGCTTGAGCATCTTATATACCTAATTATTCCAACAAAAATTATTTTCAGATTTCTAAGCTAATTTTTGGATACTTCAGCAAAACTGTTCTTTTCGTATATAGAGATTATGATGCTGAGAAAAAGAATTGCTTCGATTAAAATTCTTTTTCCCAGAATTCTATATCCACCATTACAAAATCTTGAATGCACTATTTACAGATAAAAAGACTTGCAAGTGTAACTTTTTGTTGAATATAAACTCGAAGATATCGGCTTTAGTAAACATTGTACGATAACCCAATAAGTCAGCACCTAAGAAGATTAAATAAAACGATGAAGATTACCTTTTTCTTCGGGTGGTAGATCATCCTGAGACTCATGATCGTGGCAAGGGTCAGGGCTGGGCGCATCTGCGATTGATCCGCCTCCCGGACGTCCTTCTCCTTTCGCCGGCACCCATAACTGCTGACCGGAATAAATGAAAGTACTTCCGAGCCTATTCAATTTGCTCAGCTCGGATGGCGTCGTATCGAATCTTGCTGCCACTGATGTAAGCGTGTCTCTATCACCCACCTATAAGTATAAAAGTAAACATGTCATTAAGCGGAGATCAATTTACAGAGAATGTCCTCTCAGAAAGAATCACTTTTTTGCACGACCTAACGTTCCTCGCGTATCTCACGCAACCAACGAGAAGACATTATCGTTCTCATTGTTGTTTATGAAGCTTTTTAATCGAATAATTTAAAACAAACTAGTCAGAAAAATACGCCAAATGATTGAATCTTGATTTTTTTCGTAAGCGAAAGAAGAATCTGAAGTTTCTAATTTAAATAAAGAAACACAGAAGCGGATACAAACTTATTGCATATACGCGTAATATCATCGTTGCGTATCAATTTAATAATACGATGTGCGTATCATTATATCACAATTTTAATTTTTTTATGTAACGATAACAACTCTCCGCTTACACCAATGTGCAATAATGATACACAACAAGTCTGTTCCATCTTAAGGACGTAATATATGTATTTTTTAAATAAAATAAAAAAAGTTATTACAAAAAATTTGATGGCAATTTAAAACTTGAATAAAAAATTATTTCAATATAAGTATAGATATGTTTTTAACAAATAATTAGAATAAAATAAAATTTTTATTTAAATTATAAAAAATTAATTAATTAAATTATAAAATTGCGCTATTAAATATAAATATTGATCTTAAGTCTATATTGGATTATTTTAAATGTATGTATATAACATTCATTTTTATATGGAAAATAAAAATTTCCAATTCCAGTCATTTTTTACAGAGACTGTGTATTCTTCCGAATGAACATCCTTAAGATATTCCTATTGTCATAAATAATACATATTAGCAATCGATCTGAATTTCTTCTTTCTCACTTTTTTAAATCGAATCCGTATTTGCGCGCTAAGTGCATACAAATCTACTCGACGTAACGTTCTGGGAGGATCGCATCTATGACAAAATCTCCGCTACTCCTTGTGCATCTGAGCTTTCTCTGGTACGCATTTTCTCGCACACGAGCGTCTGCGGCAGACACGGGGCCATTAGCCCATTTACATAAGCCGACAGAAACGGCGTGCTTGAGAGTATCGGACGATAGAAAATTGAATTCCTGGAAAAAGAACCTCGGCGAGATGCGACTGCGGCATGTTTCTTATGTAAATTCGTATACAACGACTTGCTATAACGATACCGCTTCGGTGTTGCACGGCCGAACTATTTGTCACGGTTGCTCTCCTCTTTTTGAACAAAAGCCTCCCCGCGAGAAAGGATCGAGGGTAATTCAATTAAAAAGCTTCACGCAAGCGGACGCTAATCTCACCGTCGGCAAGTCTGCCATTTTCCAGAAACATCGGCGGAAAATAGGATTTCCAACGCTTAAAATGCGATTTATGTTCCGCTGGGAAATTCGTTAATTATTCCGCCACACTTCAACCCTCTCTTCAATTGTACGTTGTCTACCACTTTCCTAGTGCTCTTGTAACTCTATTAGGTGCCACGACACGGAAATCTTGCTTTGCTATTATCATCTTTTTCGATAAAGTTCCTTAAGACTTTAAAGCCCTTCGTCGCTCGAACAATTAAGTCATTTACTTTCAAAGCATTTATACACAAAATCCATTTTTAAAATACTGCAATATTATACATATTGCAGTTTCCTTTATTATTTTCTGGGAATGAGTACATAGTTCTTATTATTTCTCAGAAATACGTTTTAAAATTTTAGATGTAATTTCTTAATTCCAATATTAATGTTAAGTTATAATTACATTAGTAATTATATATTTTTAATGTAATCAATTTTTAATTAATTAAGATAAATTTACTCATATTAATATTAAGTTTATAAAGTTATTCAAAAATTTCTTATTTCTAATTTTTATCTTTAATTATTTATAAAATTTCAGAATTATCCGTAATATTAAAAAATTTTTCATCTATTTTATGTACCATGTATCAGAATGCTCCTTTTAATAAATTCTTTTCGAAGAATATAACATAGAAAGTAGATATCGCTTAAATATCTGTTTTCGACATCCTTTATTCCAGATAAATATAGAACGATGGAGATTAGATGAGTGATTAGAAAGCAGCTCAAGATCCCTCCTTTCCTCCTCTCATTCGTGTCCCATTAGCGGTGCGATCAAACGAGAAAAAGAATGGCTATTCGTCTGACAAAGATTAGACGCGTGGGCGACAGGAGCCCAGCAAAAGGAAGAAAAGAGAGATCGATTAAAATAAAAAGCAAGAATCGCAGTGAAGCTGAAAAGAAGAATAAAGAAAAAAGAGCGATGGAGGGCAGGATATTTTCTGCGGGGAAAGATATTTTCTGAAACTGAGAAAAGCAAAAAGACGAGTACGAACGATGGCCATTGTTTCAGTTTCCACGTCTTTTAGCTGCGGCTTTATAATCTTCATCTTCGTTTTCATTGAGTGAGATGCTGCCAAATCACAAAAGATCTTCCGCGAGAGAGAAGCGTTCTATTTTCTTTGTTTTTATTTCTCAAACTCGCCGATTTTCCGCATAACGCTAGAAAATTGATAATATGCAGTCTTTTCAGCAGTATATCATTTCTTATCAGTTTCCTCACATCCACCGAAAACATTTTCACGAATGCAATTGGGAAACTTTTGATTTTATTAATTGCAAAAATTATTGATTTCTTTAGATTTTAATCAAAATCTATTTAACTTTTAATACCTTCTGAAGAAATTTCAAAACTCTTTGGAGAAGAGCCAAAATTCAATTGTATCGAAATTTTTAAAATCAGATGCTGACTTTTCATAAAAATCGCTCTAGTAATCTAATATCGTAGGTTAATCTTATCAGATACTGACTTAACAAAAATCGTTCTTAACCTACGATGAATGTCATAGATTAATTACAAGGAATTTCAGTTAAAAATTATTACGTAGCTTTCAAGTAAGAAAATTTACTTGAATACTTTGATAAGTTAAACGGGAGCATAGATCGCTTCTAACCTGACATAGTTTAAATGAAAATATGCAGCACAATTATTAAGATGGGATTTATTAAATCCCATCTTAATAATTAATAATCTAATTTAACAAAGTCATAATAACATAAATGTTTTAAATATTTTAAATTAAGTTTAGTCCAAATTACAACAATAAAAGTAGATTTCTAAAATTTCTTTCGTTACTGTCAAACATATATTATTAAGTTATAGTAATTTCGAGGATTACAAGACAGAACTAAAAAAATTAAATGAAGAAAGTAAGATTATGTTTGTAATACATAATTTGGCATATTTTTTCTTGGTGATATCAGATTAAATTGAAAAATTGAAATTTTCCAAGTACTTTGCATTAATAATTGATACCAATGTAATTGGAAATTATGATAATGTTGATAACATTATCAAAATTTCCAGTTACAATAAAAAAACAAATACATCTTACTTAGATATCTCCATCCAAAAATCGATAAAATGATAAGTGTGAACCTGGAAACTTTTGTTGTTTAATTGTGCGCAATTGTGGCGAACATTGAGGTCATCAGCATGAGGATAGATAATAGAAGATAAGAGAAATTGTCAGATTATAGACGTTAATCGATCAATGGGATGCAAGGAAGCCGAAACGAGTGACATAAGCTAGGCTCTAATATAGAGCAGGAATTGCAACCACCGTGATTATCACACAGGAATTACGCTACGCCATAGTGATTTCACTGCCGTTAAATGGGATAACGCCAGCAACTATTGAAGGACGACGACCCATCAACGGATTAACATTACAGTGATTGCGAAAATGTATTAATGTTGCGCATACACTCATAGAAATCATTTATTCTTATCTTCGATCAATTCAAAGTTGAAAAGTCATTTAAAAATTAATATTAAATTGTCTCCAATTTTTTCTTTTTTTCTAAATTTAGAAAAATAGATTTAAACAATAAAATCGTAACATATTTCTTACATATATTAATATTTCTCGTTTTTAAAAAAAATTATCTGTTTTTTGAATTTATTTTTGTAAAATTTCTTACAACATTTTTATGTAATTTTAGCTATTACTGC